AAAAAGACTGGAATAATAATTTAAGGACTGTTCAACGAGTCCAAACGAAAGGTGCATGTTCTGTGCACTTTATTAAGACATGTAGACACACTGGAGACAGACGTGGGCAGAAACCAAACGCCCGGGTGATGGATAACTTCAGCGCACAATGACCCGAGTCAAAGGGGTTTGCTCTAAATCAATTAAGGTGATAAGAGCGCTGTGTCAACAGTGCGCACCTGAAGTCCCGGCCCTTATCTGCGCAGAGAGGAAGACGCAGCAATAACTATTGGGGTATATACACTATACGGGACCCAGGGGCTTTCTGTCCTCCCGTCTAACGTCACGGGCGGCTTTCATTTGCCGTGATGCATGTAGGGAGGGGTTGGAGGTTGAAGTTGAGAGGAGGGCCGACAGGAAGGAACGCTTTGGGAAGATTACAGCATTTAACATGCTAAGACCTCGCAGCAGTTATTCATTCATCCCTCTGCTTCCTTTTTAGGATGGGGTCACGGGTAGCTTTCCACGCGGTGCCATCGGAATAGTGTGACATCGAATGCTGAGATTCGGTGACCCCTTTCTGTCCGAGTCTTGATTAAAATATGTTTGCTTTCTTATTCAAACTGCCATTTGACAAGCTCGGTCATATTTCAGCGAGCTGCACAAACATTCTCTCGGGCCACGGCAGGGTTTTTTTTTTCCATTGCGTATACGAGGTGACTCTTCCAGCAAATGTTTCCAATGAACATGACACGAAGCGGAGGTAAACCAACAGCTTAAAGCAACGGTTCAACCAAAAATGAGAGTTTTATCATCATTAACCATCATATTGTTCCATTATTATCATGGATACATTAACATTAACAAGTTGCTTTGAAGTCATATGTATTGTGAAAAGAGCTATACATAAAAACTTGAATTTAAATATTTCCTGAAATCACTTTTCGCTAGAAATCTAAAATCACATATATTCAACATTTCGGTCACACTTCACTTTTAAAGGTCCCGGTTCTCGCTCTTAATAAACCATTAACTACAACTTTTGCCTCAAACTCCTAATTTGCAGCTTATTAATAGTTAGTAAAGTAGATTTAAAGTACCTAAGTTTAGGTATTGGGCAGGATTAGGGATGCAGAATATGGTCATGCAGAATATGTGCTTTATAAGTACTATTAAACAGCCGATATGTTAATAACAGGCATGCTAATAAGCAACTAGTTAATACTGAGAACAGGTCCCTATATACTAAAGTGTTACCAACCTTTCTAACATGCAGGAAGCAAATACAGAAGAATCTAAATATTCTAACACACAAAATGTCAATAAGGTGTGAAATGTGCATCTGACATTTGGGTCTGTTCCTCACAAAAAGCTAACTTCAGAAAACTTGCACGAGTCACACGGACTACTGTTGTGATGCCTTGAGAAGTTTGGCTATTTAAATCCTGAAGACTTCGGCTGAATGGAAAAGAGAAGCTCAAATATTTGGCATAGCATCTTGTTTTGAGTTCCACAGAACAAAGGTCAGAACGACACGAGAGTAAATGCAGGCAGACTTCAGTTTTGTGTGAGCTGCCGCTGTCGTTACGTTATTCAGAGTTATAAACTCTCCGGAGACGGTGAACTGCTGTCGACTTCACTGATTAGCCAAACACTCATCACCAAATTAGGGAAGGTGCCCTGCAGATGGGTTCTAGAAGCGACTGTGATTTAAAGAGCCGTTTCGTGGAAACACCGACTGTACATGAGAGCTCCGCTCGTATAAACACATCCGCTGATCTGGAGATCTGCACAGTTGTAGTTTGGACGTCTGGAGACGTGCACAGCACAACTGCTTCTGATGGTAATAGTCTTCAAACTCGTAGAGATGAAGTAAATGCAACACGCAGCTGCGGACAAACTCCAGCTTCCACTGCTCAACTAAACTCTTAGATCAGAAACACCAGCACACACATGCAGTGCTGTCATTACAGGAACAGCTCAAAACAGAATTATTACAATCAAATGTAACGTGCTTCACGATGCCATAGAAGAACCTTTGTGTCTACATGGTTCCATAAAGAACCTTCAACATCTGAAGAACCTTTCTGTTTCACAAAAGCTTCTTTGTGGTGAAAGAAGGTTCTTCAGATTATAAAAAGCGGAGAAAGAGATGGTTCTTGACTGCATGGTTCTTTGTGGAACCAAAAATGGTTCTTCTATGGCATCGCTGTGAGCAACCTTTTAAGCACCTTTATTTTTAAGAGTGTTCCTCTCTTCGGTGGAACACGAGCAGATGTTCAGCAGAATGTTCACGCTGCTCTTTTACATACAGTGAAAGCAGAAGCTGACCAGTGGCTCTCAAGCTCCAAAAACATGTGATTATCACACAAAAGTCACCATGTGACTCATGCACCATATTCCAGCTCTTCTGAAGGCATATGATGGGATTTGTGTGCCACTGAAGAAATAAAGTCCAAAACCACTTCAAGCATTTCTGGGGAATCAAACCCATGACCCTAGAGAGAATTAATGAGGGAAATCCAAGGTCAAAGTTCCCATCCTAATACATCTCTGATTAGACTTTAACTAATATATAATCAAGGCCAGACACACTAACAATCCAGTTATAAAAGACTAAAGCCATCGAGACAGGAGAAGATAAAAGGATGTGATGATACTGTCTGCTGCACTGATTATTAACAGCGACTCTTTTGTGATATTTATTAAAATATGAAATATAACAACTCAGGCCTTCATGTGTGCTGATAGCAATGGTTATAATCATTACTGATGTGCTGCTATATATCTATGCAGCATTTATATAATATTAATGTCACATGATTTACATATTGCTATTTTGTTGGTTTTGATTGCATCCATTGTCCACATTTGTAAGTTGCTTTGGATAAAAGCATCTGCTCAATGACTAAATGTGAATATATATATACACATATATACATATATACATACATACATACAGTATAAGTGCTGTCAAACGATTAATTGCATCCAAAATAAAAGTTTTTGTTTATATAATATATGCGTGTATACTGTGTATATTTTTTATGTATATATAAATACAAACACATGCATACATTTAAGAAAAATATGTTATGTTTATATATTAACTATATTTATATATAATATAAAATATAAGAATATGCATATATAAATGCATATACATGTAAATATTTTCAATATATATACTGTATGTGTGTGTATTTATACATAATAAATATACACAGTATACACACAGCACAGCACAACTGCTTCTGATGGTAATAGTCTTCAAACTCGTAGAGATGAAGTAAATGCAACACGCAGCTGCGGACAAACTCCAGCTTCCACTGCTCAACTAAACTCTTAGATCAGAAACACCAGCACACACATGCAGTGCTGTCATTACAGGAACAGCTCAAAACAGAATTATTACAATCAAATGTAACGTGCTTCACGATGCCATAGAAGAACCTTTGTGTCTACATGGTTCCATAAAGAACCTTCAACATCTGAAGAACCTTTCTGTTTCACAAAAGCTTCTTTGTGGTGAAAGAAGGTTCTTCAGATTATAAAAAGCGGAGAAAGAGATGGTTCTTGACTGCATGGTTCTTTGTGGAACCAAAAATGGTTCTTCTATGGCATCGCTGTGAGCAACCTTTTAAGCACCTTTATTTTTAAGAGTGTTCCTCTCTTCGGTGGAACACGAGCAGATGTTCAGCAGAATGTTCACGCTGCTCTTTTACATACAGTGAAAGCAGAAGCTGACCAGTGGCTCTCAAGCTCCAAAAACATGTGATTATCACACAAAAGTCACCATGTGACTCATGCACCATATTCCAGCTCTTCTGAAGGCATATGATGGGATTTGTGTGCCACTGAAGAAATAAAGTCCAAAACCACTTCAAGCATTTCTGGGGAATCAAACCCATGACCCTAGAGAGAATTAATGAGGGAAATCCAAGGTCAAAGTTCCCATCCTAATACATCTCTGATTAGACTTTAACTAATATATAATCAAGGCCAGACACACTAACAATCCAGTTATAAAAGACTAAAGCCATCGAGACAGGAGAAGATAAAAGGATGTGATGATACTGTCTGCTGCACTGATTATTAACAGCGACTCTTTTGTGATATTTATTAAAATATGAAATATAACAACTCAGGCCTTCATGTGTGCTGATAGCAATGGTTATAATCATTACTGATGTGCTGCTATATATCTATGCAGCATTTATATAATATTAATGTCACATGATTTACATATTGCTATTTTGTTGGTTTTGATTGCATCCATTGTCCACATTTGTAAGTTGCTTTGGATAAAAGCATCTGCTCAATGACTAAATGTGAATATATATATACACATATATACATACATACATACAGTATTAGTGCTGTCAAACGATTAATTGCATCCAAAATAAAAGTTTTTGTTTATATAATATATGCGTGTATACTGTGTATATTTTTTATGTATATATAAATACAAACACATGCATACATTTAAGAAAAATATGTTATGTTTATATATTAACTATATTTATATATAATATAAAATATAAGAATATGCATATATAAATGCATATACATGTAAATATTTTCAATATATATACTGTATGTGTGTGTATTTATACATAATAAATATACACAGTATACACACACATTATATAAACAAAAACTTTTATTTTGGATGCAATTAATCGTTTGACAGCACTAACATATACATATATATATATATAGATATCAGAATTCTCCCATTAGACTGATTTTTACAAAGAGCCTGGTATAAAAATGTGTTGGAAAAACAAATTGACAAAAAGGTACCTTTCAGAAGTTTATTTCACTGTAGGCCTTCTTCTCAAACTTCACTAAGTCATATACTGCTTCACCTTGGAAGTGTTTTATTTTCACTTTTTTAAGCAGAGCGCTGGTGTCAAAATCATTCTTAACCTCAACTTGAAACGACAAATGTGTTTAAAACGTCGGGAGCAAACCTGGAAAATAAATAGATGAAATGGAGGCTTAGCGGGAGCTAAATCCCACAGCTGATGGGGACCTGAAGTGTGCGGATTACATGCGAGCGCATTAAACAATGTCCCTAAATATGCATTGAAATCCGTAAAGCATGAAAGCATCTTGTCATGTGGCATTAGCATTCAGAGGTGCGTGTCAGACGTCTTGCGCTGCACTGGGGTGTGCTGCGGTGTTAAATGTCAAATCCCAGAAAGATTTCCTGACGTCATGCTGTCGTGTCAACTTTGCTTCTTCAGAGCTCTTTACGGTTAAACCGTCACAAGAGCACGAGCTCGGTTACAGATTCTGCTGAAACAAGGTTAATGGAAACAAGAATAAAGGGAAAGTGAGAGAGAGTAAAGCTTCTGCTACTTCTTTAAAATGAGGAGAAAAACTGTCACAAGGACTTTGACAGCAAAGAAGCCTGATTTCTTTTGTAAATGCAAGGATGGGCCAGATATATAAGAGGTGTGATGCTAAACACCAGCAAAACAACAACACCGATGAAGGGCCACCTTCATCACACAGTGACCATAAACATAAGCGAACGGTGCAAGAAAACAGAGAAGTCAGAGCCCATCGGATATAAAACATTGAAATGTATAAATCTTTCCATTTAAAACATTCAAATTAATATATTTTTAATTTTAAAACATTAAAATGTATAAATCTTGAATAAACTGTCTGATGCTCTGCCTCAGAAACAGCCGATCTGACTGAAGACATTTATCCGATTCTTCAAAGAGAATTCAGGAAATCCTTCAAATTATACACGAACAGGATGTGATCGAGGTATAAAGCATGTCAGACTGTTTACTCGCATGCTCTTTGAAAATATGAAATAAATGATCCAGTCTGGGAGCCTAATATTACTGGAGTCTAATGTTATTGCCAACGATTGTCAAAGCCACCAGCCATCAAAAAATGTCTCAAAAAGATTTCAAGAAAATATAACACAAATGTTCGGGTCAACAATTTCCCAGAGAATATATATACAGTGGGGCAAAAAAGTATTTAGTCAGCCACCAATTGTGCAAGTTCTCCCACTTAAAAAGATGAGAGAGGCCTGTAATTTTCATCATAGGTATACCTCAACTATGAGAGACAAAATGCTAACATGCTCAGCTCTGATACAAGAGCCCAGAAAAGACGGCAGTCTCATATATTAAGATGCACTTTCAATACAAACTTCAATTAAAGATGCACTGAAATCTGGAACGAAAACAGAAACTGTTCATTTTAAACTCGACTTCATTTGGAATAACCTTCATTAACAACCTTCATTGTTAAACCACTGGACTTCAGCTGGTATGACTGCAGAGAAAAAGTATCAAAAATTGATAAAGAAAATAATAAACTTAAACTCTACTCCAAACAGAGTTTGGAACACAGTACTTCACAGTAAGCATCCAGAGATGTTTGGCTTCTACAAGCACATCTATATTGCGCTGTATGATGTGAGACATGAGATGAGTGCATGTGTGCGTCTGATCAGGAACGCAAAACACTTGGTATTATGGTCAAATCCACTCATAAAAATGAATGGAAGAAACCATAAAGTTCATACGGCGGATGTAGAAACAGAAGCCCAGCCTCACAGTTAAACAGCCAGCCGCATGTTTGCTTTGACGAAAACACGTGTGTGCATTAGGAGAACAACACTGGTTTGTGTGTGATTTAAGCTTAATTTATGATACCTCAATAGCATGACAAATGTATTAAATCAATGAGATCTTTATAACAGTGCTGCAGATACTGATATAACATGCTATAAATATCAGTGGTCACTCTATATCTCCAGTAATCTGTCTCAGTGAGATGAGACTGAAATGCTCCAAACATATAATGCAGTGATTGAGAGCTGAAGAAATAAAGGCTCCTCAGAAGATGTGAGATGTTCTGGAGGCTTGTGAAGATCATTCCTCCGCTGAGGAACAGTGAAAGTAAAGCTTCTGGAAACAAACGCTCCTCAAAAGATCCTGAGGATCAGATTTGAGACTCTAAAACATGATTGATGGAGAATCAAGTAAAGCTGAGCTGCTTCAGTGCAGTAAGTGTTCATCTGGAGATATTACTGCAGTTATTCTGACCTTTACTTGATCAAAACCAGTCAAGATCTGACACGAGAAGCTCCAGCTGAAGCTGGACGTTTCTACAATTACATGGAGGAGATTGAGTGTGAAACAGGTTTAACAGCAAAGACTGATCATGTTGATCATTTAGAGGCCTTAGAAATTCATAATAGTGTAGCTTTATAGGGTTAATGTCATTGATGCCAAAATGAATATGCGTGATGACAAATGAGATTTGAGGGCGAGAGTAAATGATGACAGAATGTTCATTTGTGTGTGAACTATTTCTTTCATATAAAACTCAAACAGCTCATGAAAGGACACCGTCGCTCCCAGCAGTCTCGCATGAAGAGTCGCATTTCATTACATGACACATTTAACCTCAGCCGCTTCCACTAAAACATACACAAGCCTTATTATGTGCTTAATATTCACTATCAGCTGAATAATTTTTAATGCAACTTATAGCCGAGTAGATGGATAACTCAATTATGCGCACATCCGTCACGGAGCCTGCCGAAGCCGGCTGAGATTGATGGGAAGGTGAAGCCGGCGGATCTTGAGCGTCAGATCGGTGAACAGTCTCTCTGCTTCGCTCTTTACAGGAGAAGCCTCATTACCCATGACTCCACTGACGAGAGTTTATTACGAGGTTAGCGTTTTGGCCACACTATTGTTTGGATGATGAATGCGGCTGCTGCGAGTTTTGGAGAGGAGATCAGTTGTGTTGTTTTTCACTTGGTTCTCAACACTTAAAGGAGGAGGAGGAATAATTAACGGCGCTTGCCAACGCTGCCATTTGGTGCAGACGACGGAAATGCTTGAACATAAGCAAATCAGGAGGTGTGTCACTCTCATGCGCCGCACTAATTGAAAACATGGCGGCGAAGGTCACTGGAAAGGAAACTCTCTGACCTTTTCAATATTTCTCTCAAACTCATGTAAACAGAGGAGATGAATTAACATGACTGGCTGAGTGAGAGGAGACGACGGGAAGGTGGACACAGGCGGTCCTTTGCTCCAAATGTCAAAAGGAAATGTCAATTAAAAATTACAAGCAGCTCTGAAAGGTTTTTTTTTTTGACATGCCAAAGTTTATCTGACAAGGCAGCGCACAAACATGACAGCATGTGACGTGTCACGTCTAAACACACGTGAGAAACGCTGAAGATGTGATCCATACGACTGTAATGGAGCCGCAGCGCATCAGATCAGATGGATAGAGTGACCTCTCGTGATGGATCGTAACAGACAAAAGGATGTTTTTACGCTTTCGGTCATATAAAAGCACGTTCCATTTGTTTCCCCCAGAGCTTAAAGGGTATTAGTCACATTGTGTGGTTAAACATTGACCTACTAGTAGAGACGGTTCTACTAGTCCACTGAATACAGTAGGTATGTTTACATCACATTTTATTTTTTTAAAGGGGTGGTTCACTCTTTTTTTTCTAGTCTTGATTGTGTTTATGGGGTGCAGTCTAACATGCGTTAATGCTTTGTTTTTTAAAAAACGCTTTATTTTTCACATAATTTACCTTTATTCCACACCGCTCTGTCCCTTCTCTGAGAAACACGCTGATCATTTCCTTCTTTTATGAAGCCCCTCCCTCAAAAATAGGCGATGGGCTCTGATTGGTTAGCTAGCCCAGAGTGTTGTGATTGGCTAAACCGCCTCTAGTGCTCGTCTAAACGTCCCGCCCCAATCCTCAGCGGCATGTGCTCCGAGAGAGAGAGAGATGCAGAGCAGGGGGACGCGAGGAACAGGATTGAGAACCGCTGCTTTAGAACATTGATTTTGAAACTTGTGAATCCATTAGAATCGTTAGAAGACAATCGCGATTCATATATGAATAGATTGTTACGTGCACCTCTAGTCCTCTTTAACTTCTCCAATAGGATTGACTGAAAGCATCATCATTTAAAGTGCTCTATATCTCACAAACACACACAATGCTTTCACGGGAGGAGTTCCAGTGCCTGAAACACCTTAAGATCAGTGACATTTAATAATTATCGACCAATATATATATCGATGTACCGATATTTAAGCATGTTACCATTATCGGATATCGGTTTCACAAGTATACTTACTTGATTTGCTGTAGTTAGTAAACTTTATTTAACCTAACAGCCATTAATGCACAAGTTAGATGCATTACATAAATGCCTGATATGTAGCTCATGCAGCTAGGCTCTAAGAAATAGAGACGAACTCACAGAGTCATGTAAGATAATGCTTCAAATCCTGTCCCAATAAAGACATAACTTTACCTGAATTAAATAATATACAGCCATGAATGAGCGCATGTTGGAAATAAAAGCACTAAATTTAATGCTCATCAGTCTCGTGAAGCCAGAGTCACGTAGGCTAAAATAATCAATTGATTGTTTAATATCTCCGATTGCAGTTTTAGTTCTGTGTAAATCCATAGATAAACCACGCTGTCAGCCAGTGTTTCATAATCTGGAATGCCAAAAGCATATGAATAATTCTGATATAACATACCAGTTGAGAAATGCAATAAAATATGATGTTTTGTTTGTTAGATTCCAATATTCCAGAGAATATTATTCAGTGAATTAACATTATCCAGTGAATTATTCTTCACTCTTTAGCCTATTAAACAGCTTATAAACCTACTAAAACTGTAGTTTAAAATGAAGTTCAAAGGACTCCTGTCCTCCATTTGAAAACATTAGACATTTTCCATTTATGTTGCTTATTGTTAATATTAGTGTTGCTGCTGATGCTTTTTTATAAATGAAATGCTTTTATTGTTGTAATATGAAGATTAAATTTAACATGAAAGACTGCTAATTTTCAACACTTTTAAAAGATGACTGAAAGCAGGAAAAACCAAAGTGAAGTCTGGACTTAAATATCGGTAATAAATATCGGTTCAGCATATCGGCTATAAACATCGGCATCGGTTACAAAAAAAAAATCAATATCGGTTGATCACTAATAATAAGTCCATCCCAAATTAAACAGTAAAAAACAAATGGTGAAAACATGACTGTGAAATCTGTTGTTGTGAGAGATTAATCGGATATTTGTGAAATCCCCAAAACGAATGAATTATAACGGAATTATTACAATATATGCAAAATAAATAAATCTAAAACTGATATTTACTTCCGGCACACTAAAGCAAAAGAAAGAAGAAGTGGCCTGAAATGTGTTTGTGATGTATAAAATGAAAAGCAAGCCTAACCCAAATAGGCCTTAAGTGCTGAAGACATTCACACAGTATAAGACGATTACAATTCTGCATTTAACACCGTTAGCAAACCTACTCAAAATGAACAGGTTCATTTAAATTTAACAGACAGATGTCCAGGCCATAGTTTGAGATGGTTTAGGGACTGACCTGTTGCAGTAGCTCCAGAACTGCTCGTTCAGGTACGTGTGATGGCTGTGCTCGTCTCCAAACGAAGCTTTGCTCTCAATCCAGTGAACTATATGGCCATCAACAGCTGCAGGAGAGCACAACACGCGGTTATCTCAAGAGCAGGTTAGGAAGGCAGGTTTACTACATACTAGCAGTGTTTAAGCAGAGAAAGGGAGTCAGCACAAACACAAACTACACAGCATTTTTCTAATCAGTAAGTAAATAAACAGCAGCTAGCATCAGATCTCACCGATGGGCACCTCCAGAATGATGTCCGGGGTTTTGTCATAGCCTTTGGCACGGAGCTGGTTTTCATCTGTGTGGAAAAGACATTTCATGATCTTACAGTGGTTTACTTTACAATGTTAGAAGAGTTGTGCAAGTGATGATTGAGACAATTTTCCATTTTCTTTTTGACCCTAAGAACCGAACATGATGTTTTTGGCTGACTGTCCTCATCGTGAAGTAAGGAACTTACACACAAACTGCAACCCTGTTACTGCATGATCTTCCCCCATAAATAAATTCCCTATTTCCTTAAGTTATGATGCACAGGAGGAGGCTTTACTTGGACTTTGGACCATTTTGACCGCAAAGTCAATAAAATTATTTTAGTCACATTGAACTACTACTATGCTTTGCTAGAAAATGCTAATTCACATAAATCAGGGCTTTAAATTGTATTTTAGTAATCTCACTATTTTTATTTTAGTTTTATATATGTCACTATGTATATACACATATATACATACACTACCGGTCAAAAGTTTGAGATACAGGGGTTTCTTCTGCTCATCAAGGCTGCATTTATTTGATCAAAAATACAGGAAAAAATATAATATTGTGAAATATTATTATGATGTAAAATACAATTTTTCTATTTTAATATCTGTTAAACTGTAATGTATTTCTGTGATGCGCAGCTGTATTTTCAGCATCATTACTCCAGTCTTCAGTGTCACATGATCTTCAGAAATCAGTCTAATAAGCTGATTTATTATCAGTGTTAGAAACTGTTGCTGCTTCATATCGTTTTGGAAGCTAAAGTGATACTTTTT